CCCTCTTTGCAGGACCTCTGACTGCAGCCCATCTCCCTGTGCTGAGGTTGTAGCCAGAGGTGGAACAGCTCCTGGCTCAGAGTCCCTCATCCTCAGCATCTGGGCACACACGGACCTTGAGCAGGGCTCTCTGTGCTCTTTGGCTCTCTCTGCTGGCTGCAGAGCACCCCAATCCTGGGCTTGTGCTCGGCACTGTCCCCCCAACGGCACCCTCTGGGGAGCACGCTGCTGGGGTGAGGAATATTGTGTTGGAGCCTTTAGGAAGAATCACAAACCCTGCCAGGCACAAGAAGTAAAGCAGGAAAAAAGAGCTGCTAGAAAAGAATTACAAAAGAGCTTTGCAAATGTGACAGCCGATTTCCAGAGGGATCCTTTTTCTTCCTCAGTCATAAGCAAAAGGAGAGGTTTTCCTTGAAGGCAGGTACAGAGCTCTGTGTAAGGGAGCAGATGATCTACCTCGGGCAGAGCAGCACCAGGCTGATTGCCGGGCTGGGAGGGAATCACTGACTTTGGCTCTGTGCCTGGGACATCTCCTAACAGGGGTTGTGGGATGAGTATGGAAGGCCTGGAGCATCTCTGTGCTCTCCTCCTGGGAATGCTTTTCCAGGGCTGGAGGCCAGAACACTTCATCCTTCTGCACCACAGAGCACAGCAGGCTGCTGCCTGCAAGAGCCAGCTGCAAGGAGGGGGAGGCAAGCAGTGGAGAGCATCAGGAGGGATGCTCTGATGCTGTATGTGAGACCAAGTCACTGTCACTCTCTCGCCCAGCAGCCAGTCTAGGTGATAAACAAAGCCTGGGTTTGCATTATTTCATGTTTTCTCAGGGAATATCTTTGTAGAAAATACTAGGGACCTTCATTAAATTAATTTTTGTTAATTGAATGACCAGGTGTGTTTCTTTATCAGATGATGCTGGAAGTAATGGTTCATGGCACAAACTGGCATTTTTACTATACACATGAATAAAACTGAACTTTTTTTTTTTTTTTTTTTTTTTTTTTTGTGACTTTTAAATTTTTTTTCTTGTATTCTACAAGTTGTTTATAGGGTAAGTTTTCTAAGACTGGGATACAAAAAGTTTTCTGAGTTACCCAGTGTCTGGCCAAACAGCTATTCTCAGAAGTGTAATTGGGTTTTGAAAAAAAATAACAAATAACTCCCTAATAAAATAAAGACAAAGGTGAAGAAAAAACGAATAAAAGTGTTTTTTATTGCATTATTCTGGTGGTAAGTTGACAAAGAGTCAGAAGGTGTTCAGTGAGCAAAGAGTACAGTCTGTTCCTTTATGATAATAACTTTTATTGCCTAGGTATATCTTCTCTTACCCTGCTCAATAACCATCCTGCTGAGAATTAGGATTCTTGCAGCAGTGAGTGTTTCTCTCCAAGCCATGTGGGGGCTGGGGGCAGACCTGGAGCTCCTCAGAGATGCTGGGAGTTGGGTGGGATGAAAGGAAGCTTTCCTGTGGTGCAAGCAGAGCTCTGGGAATCAGAGATGCTCTCGGTAGCTGCAATCAGCTGGTGCAATTCTTGTGAGGAGCCCCAGAGGCAGAGTAAAAGCAAAGGCACCACAGAGCATCTTATGGGCTCTTCTGGGAGGAGAAAACTTGTGCCCGTGGGTCCATTTTCTTGGTCTTTTCTGCAGAGCCAAAAGGAGTTAGATGGTGCCAGAGTGGACTCAGGGTATGAAATCTGGGTCCCACAGGTTCTTCCTCTGCAGCACAGCTAGGATCACTTCAAAGTATATGTCCCCAGCGAGCCTTCTGGACCAAAGAAGACTTCCTTTTTCTACCATTTAGAACTGCACCTAAAAAATAATCTTGGCCTGCTTGCTAGATCAAGAGACACCTCCCAGCATCATTGGAGACTTGGCCTTTGGGGGTGGTTGAGAAGCTCCTCACTGAATTCCCACAGGTGATGTGTGTTTCCAGGCCTTATACAATTTTTCTGGTTTTCATTGAGGGCAGCTCTTCAGGCAGAAGTTTCAAGCCCTTTTATGTTGTTCCTTAGGGACATTTCTCTGCATTGCCTCAGATGAATCACCTGCTGAAGGTACCTGCTGGAGGGGCATTACTGGGGTCTGCCCGTGGCACCAAATGCAAGAGGGGAGATGAATCATCTGAGTGTGGATCACCACAGCCTCTAACCTCCCCCAGACCCATGCTGAGGCTGTCCCTCCATGGAGCCTCCTCTCTGACCTGCAGAGAAAGTGGCTTGAGAACCACTCCCAGAACTGCTCTGCTCTTGGGCAGCTCTGGCCTGTGTGCTGTACTTGTGTGCTCATCCAGACTCAGCCTCGCTCAGCAGGAGTGTTCCCAGCACGGAGCACTGTTCCATGCTCCGTGTCTAGGGATTGAATATACTTATTTAGTCTCTTTAGCCCATAACTCCCACATATCAAAAGGGAAAAAATAAATATTCCTTTTTCTTTCTAGTCTTTTTAGCTCAGCGTGGCAAAACCATCTCCTGCATCGTGTTTTTACAGCTCCCAGCACCTGGGATTGCTGGCACTGCCACAGTGCAATTACATGTGGTGATACTGCATTTAATGCCTTGGAAGCCAGCTCCCCAGACTCCAGGAACTCCTGAACTGACACATGGAGCAGTTTGTCTTTCTGTCTCTGAATTGGGGACATGCCTTCACCAGTGCATCTTCATTAAGCTTCCCAGAAGCTGCCATGGCATGCCATCAGCTGTATTGAAGCAGGCTGGTGTAGCGTATTAATCACTGTCTTTAATTCCTGCTTGTGACTGGGGATCATCCTCAACCCTTTTTGGGATGAGTTTCACTCCAGCAATTGGCAGGATTAGCTCCCTTCAGAAGCATGGGTTGAGCATTATGAACAAGGGGAAAAGTCTCAAGTGAGTAGTGGTCTATTTATATCCCATTAAAGATGGACTCTGGCCCCTCCACCCTTCTCCTGTTCCTCTAACTGCTCTCTTGAGGCTCAGCACTGAAAAATTAGTTTCTTCTTGAAAGCTAAGAGGAACCTCAGTCAACACAAGAGTGAACAGGCAGGGGTGGGGAGGTCTCTGCTTTACCGAATCCCCTAAAATCTGCTCTGTTGATGCTACACAGCAGTGAAGGAATCAGATGTGAGCTGGGACATTTACTGTCTCCTCACAGAGTCTGTCTCCCCATTTTCAAGCAGGGTCTTATTCTTACCCTGCCTGCTTTTTGAGACTGATTACTGATCTAAATTACCTGCACTTCTCAAATATATTTTTGGAGGCTTTTCCCTGCAGTGCAGCCCTGCCCATCCCACAACAGTGAGTTAATCCTGCACCCTCCACAGCTGCACCAGCTGCAGAAATCCAGGGCTCAAAGAGGGTAGGGCTCTCTCCCTGTCCCCACAAATGCTGTGAGGACCACTGTGCCCTGCCCAGGCTGCACTGCACCCAACTGTGGTAAAGAGGGCAGAGCCCCTAACCCCAAGGCACTGCATGTGGAGCAAGCATTTCCCCAGACCACACCACAAAACCTATCCCACTTCCAAAGAAAGAGGAGAGAAGCTCCTAGGAGCAGGGGACACATAGGATCGTGTCACAACAAGGCTTCTCCAGCAGATGCAGGATCCAGCTGGGCCAGCAGCAGTCCTTAGCCCTGCCTGGAGCACAGGCTAAGCCACGACTGCCCTGCTCCAGGGAGGGAGGGCAGAATCCAGCCCTGCCTCTGGCCCCCTCAGAGGGGCTGATATCAGCAGCTCCCCTCCCTGGGCATGTCCCTGCTGCCTTTGCCTGTTGCCTTTGTTTGTGGAGGAGCTCTGTAGCAGGGCTGGGATTTCACACTTGGCAACGACAAGGGATTCACCTTCCCCTCAGCTTGTTTCAAACAGCCCCCTGCCTACAGGGAAAGGAGGCGCAGAGCAAGAATGAGAGCAATGGTCCATGAGCCATCATGAATGATGCCCCACAGAGAGCTACACTCAGCACAGACCAGAGGCAGCTTAACAAGCTTTCAGCTGGGGAATCCACCTTCACTGGAGTCATACTGAGCCCTCCGCCCATGAACATCTCCGAAATCCCCCATTTTTCACCCTTCTTTCACATATGATGGCTACAAAATACTTATTTTTAATCCTGAATGATGAATTTCTCATCAAAGTGGCACCTGTCCGCGGTGCAGCATGTTTGCTCTACAGCTCCAATTCATCTGTGAGTGTGTGGCACAAACCAGCACAGCCAGAAAGCTGAGACTCTGCAAAAGCATGAAAAATTTGTCTTCCATTTAGAAAATAATGTTTTTCTCACAATGCTATCTCCTACCCTGCTGAACCCTTCATATTGCCTTTCAAGATGATGAGGTGGGTAGAAAAACTGCTGTGACCAGTTCATTAGCTGGAGAGGGGCTGGTGTCATGGGGTTAACATGGGATTTACAGGGATGAGAAACCACCCCCTGCACAGCAGAACAAAGGAAAACTTTCTGAAGGAATCCTAGGAACAGTGTTTGTCAGGAATGCTGCAAGGAGTAAAATATGCCAGGTAAGGAAACCTTTTAGTGCCTGTGGCTGAGAAGGGAATGAGATGTGTGGTGTAAACTTGTACCATGAACTACTTTTATCATCCCCATCACTCGAAATACACAGCTGAGATTTTTACTGATCCCTCTGGTGAGGGGTGTAAATCCTCCAGACTGGCTTGAAGTGCCAAGCGCTGTGTATTTGATTCAGCCACAACTGCAGGGATTTGATATCTAAAATATCACTGTGGCTGTAGTCCTTTTAGTAAGACCACAGAAAAAATATCACATTATGATACACTGTGTGTGTGTGCATACGTGTGGATGTGGATGGTGTTGGCTGCCCTGAGACAGGCAGCATTCTGAAGATGAGCAGCCTGAGAGGTAACCTCAGTTTTCTCATTGACCACCGAGCCTCAGCATCACCGTTTGAAACATAAATTTTATTGCAACAGAGAATTAAAAATAGTACATTTGAAAGAGTTGCAGAGTGCATGTCATCAAAGAACTAGTCAGAAATCACAACTCAAGCAAATCATGTACAATTGGAACAGAAAGTTTTATTAAAACAAGTGGAAATCAAACTCAAATTTTCCTTGTTTGTTTAATTTCACGATAACTGTGGATTGTGTATTTACAGTCTTCGCCTCTTGTGGTGAAGGTTCTGCTCAGGGCAGGGCAGGGATGGATGGGGAGGAGAGGTGGATTTCAAAAGCTAACAGGATGTGAAAGTTTTCCAGAAGAAGTTCTTGCAGCCTGCTTTGCGTTCCCGGGGTGCCAGAGCGGGATTTGAGTTAGCCGAGCGCTCCAGCTCCAGTCTCACTTCATCCTGCTCAGCCCCTCGGGACAAGTCCTCAGACTCCAGGGCTTCATTTTCTGTCTGACTTGGCTCTGAAAGCAGTTCTGCCAAAAAGTACTTGGCCAGTTCCTTGGGGACAAAAGACAGAAAGGGAAAAAGAGATAGAGAGACCACAATTACTCCTTGATTTTTGTGGGCTCACCACTCTGTTCGTCTAAGACTTCTCCGTGGCCATATTAGAGACATTCAGGATGCAGGAGGAGAAAGGAGACCCGGCTTTCCAAAGAGCCCAGCCTGACAGCTGCTATGCAGCAGTTGTGTCTACAGCATCTACCTGGTGTGGGGAACAGACTGCTGTCCTGTCCATGACAGGGAATGAACTCGTCTTTACCTTCTCTTCCCATGGCTCCAGCACTCAGCAAGGATGCCACAAGCCTGCTGTTAAAGTGAAACGGGAAATGTCTTTGGGGGGAGCTGGCAGGGGAGGTTGAATTGGTCACCATCTCACTGGGACTTATTTTTCTTCTAGTCCCTTCAAGCCTCGGCTGTCACCCAGCATGGATGAGGCCATTGTTCTGTGCTCTGGGGAAACTGCCTTCAATTTGCGACCCGGAGAAACCTTTGGGAGCTTCACCAGGAGCTCTGCCCTGTTCTCCAGCAGTGCCTGCTCGTTACTGACCACCAGCACCCAGCTGGACTGTCTCACCTCCCAGCACCAGCTGCCCAACCTGTCGATGGCTCAGCCCCGGCAGAGAACCGGGGTCTCTGCGGGGAAAGGGGAAAGGAAATACCTTCCTGCAGCAAGGAACCGGGCGTCTGAAACAGGGACACTGGGGAAGTCTGGCGAGGAACGGGAGGGGTCTGCAGCAGGGGTGCCAGGGGCTGTGACAGGGAGCGGAGGTTCTGCAGAGGGGAAGCGGGGTCTCTGTAGGAGCGGGAGCCTGCAGCGCGGCCGTCGGGGCGCCCGAGGGGTACCCGCGGTGCCCGCCCCGTCGCGGGGCTCTCACCTGCTTCCCGGCGGCGGCGGCCAGCGACTTCTGCAGGAACTGCCGGAGCCGCGGGTCCGAGGGGGCGGCCGAGACGGTGCCGAGGGCCAGGGCGATGGAGAGCAGGGCCAGGGCGCACTGGAGGCGGCACGACAGCATCTCGCCGGCGGGTCGGGCGCGGGAGGCGGCGGCGGGAGGCGCTGGCGGCTCCGCTGCGGCTCGGCTCCGGCGTTGGGGATCTCCTCGCCGCCCGCCGCCTTTATAAACCCTTCTCCTGACGTCAAGGCGGGGGCGCCCCCCTCGCCCCACGCCGCCGGGGGTGGGTCTCTGGGACGGGGGGGGAACGGGTCCGGGGATGCTCCGCTCTGCCCGGCGCCGGCCAAGCCTCCACGGTTCCCCCTGAGCACCCCTCCCCCCTGTCCGCCCCCAGTCCCCGACCCCAAATCACCGCCCTTCCAGAGCTCCCGACCCTGCCCGTCCGCTCCCTCCTCCCTGGAGCCCACCGGAGCGGCCGTGGGGGGTCCCGGCTGTCACCGCCCACCCGCGGCTCTGACCCAGTGCCGGACGGTGAAGCCCCCCAGCAGCCGCTCTGCCAAAGCCCCTCGCCCTGGAGCCGGGTCTCGCCCCGTCGGTGAGAAACGGCTCCAGAACCCGGGGAGCTGCAAAGGGTCCCCTGAAAGGCGATTGCCTCCGGCTCCTGCAGGGGGTGGGGGTGCTGAGGTGCCCTTGGGGGTCCTTTTGCCGCCCCTGCCCCTGAGGGTCTCTCCGGCACCAGTCCGTTCCCAGGCTCCTTCCCGCGGGCAGCTCCGGAGGCAGCGGGAGCCTCCGGGGACAGTGCCCCGGCTCCTGCCGTGGCTCTGCAGCTCCGGGAAGCGATGACAAATCTGTGCCTGGGTCGGGGCGTGCTGGACCCTTGTCTCCATCTCAGGGTCGCTGGACGTGCTCGTCCCTTGGCATGCACCTATCCCACTGGGGTGGTGGGACAGTCTCTCCCAGTCCTCCAGCCTCTCCTGTGAGCTGGCTGGTGCCCACAACGGGAAAAGCTGCTTCAAACCCCCTGAAGGATCAGCCTCCTCATCTGTCTCCCAGCTGGCAGGAGCAGAGGAGGATGTGCTGGAAAGGGCCTCTGTTGTCAAAAAAGGGGTATAAAAATATCTCCTGTCTGAATTTCCAGCTGAGGAAAGTCAAACACTTGAGGGGACAAGAATTCAAGTACTGTGAAAAGGTCTCCAGAAACCCTCAAAATGACATTATGTTTTATGATGAATTAATATGCATCCCCTGCCCCACTTTCAACCCTGGTGCTGCTGTCTGGGTTTGTTGAATCTGACCAGGGAGTGTGAAGCATGATACGAAGTGTTCCTGCTCTGTATCACAGTCCAACATGATGAATTGGTGCTGGTTGCTGGTTCCAGACCAGGCAGAGCTTTGGACTGCACTGCTACTGCCCTCCCTGGATGGTGCCTCCCTTCCTTTGTGCAGTGCGGCTCTGCAGCCTCACATAGCTTTCATCCTCTTCATCTTTCCCAAATTGTGGAGCAAAATTAATGAAAATCATGAGATAATAAGCTTTCATTTGTAGCCCATGAGACCTCGAGGGTTGGGTTTACTCGTGCTGCATTTATAGCCAGTTTTTCCCCATCTGCCTGACGTGAGCAAGGCCAAGCTCTGTGCTCCAGGGACCCTGTCTGTCTTCTAGCACTGGTCTTGCTCAGGGGAAACAGGTGGAAAAGAATCAGCCCCTGCTATGGCTTAGACAAATTTCCTTGCTTTGGGCACAGGACACAGCCTCTTACCAAGGCCAAAGGAAATGACTGGACCCAAAAGAGCAGATTGTCTCTAAGGGCTGTGACTGTCAGAGCTTTTCTCTCCACCAAGATCTTGTGTTAGCAGCTGGACCAGCATCTCTGTCCTCCTGTGGGCAAAGAAGCAGAGCCAGTCCTGGGTGTGGCAAATGGCCAAGGCAGCAGATGCCAGGGCACCAAACCTATCCTGGATCTCTTGCCTGCTGTCAAAAGAGGATTCCTAGGAAAGGATTCTCTCAGCAACAAACATTTCGCCACTTTTCTAAATGCACCAGTAGCAGCAAGCTGGGCTCTCCCATTCTACTTGCACTGAAAATAGAGTTGTTTTGTAGCCCCCAGGCTCTCCTGCTTGGCACAGCCCAGCCCAGCTGTGCCACGCTGCAGTGCAAGCCTGGGCCAGCTTTGCAGAAGGCTCCAACTCATCCCAGCTCATCCCAGCTTCCACAGCCCAGGGCAGTGCAGCCTGCTTGGGTTCCACATTGGAGAGGAGCAGAGTTGGGAATGGGAGACAATACTGGGTTATTTCAGACTCCCCTGTGGCATACTGGAAGCTGTTATCTAACATCCCCTGCCACTGCACAGCAGGCAATTCTCCAGGCTGGCACTCCTTCTGTCATTCAGCATGTCACCCCAAGGGGATGGGGACACTGGGAACCCCCATCATGCCAGAGCTACCATCCTCCTTTGGCTTGCACAGTGATGGATCTGCCCTGAAGTGCCAGAGGGATCAGTTCAGCACCTGTATTTCTTAGAGCACTGCAATGGGCTGGAGTGCAGCCTTGGACTGCTGCATAGGATGGAGAGCTGTGCTACATTTCATCACCCTTTGGACCCATCTGGACACCAACATGGAGATGAGAGCTGTAGGAGCTGGCACAGTGCAGGAGCAACCTCATTGATGAGTTCCTCTTTCTCATTTCCTGATAACTTCCTGTGGGGCCAGCAGGACTTAGACACACCTAATGGGATTTTGCAGAGTTGCATAGCTCAGTCAGAGATGGATGGGTTCCAGATGCACTGGCAGGGATGGTTTCCCTTTCATGGAAGCTGGTATGGTCCTGCTGCCATCAAATGGGGGAAGACACCAGACTTGATTCCTAAAGGGTTTTGAGAGGCCATTCTTGATCTCCTTCCCAAATCCAGGCTGCTCAGCACCTTGCTCTTCCTCAGCTACCCACAGCACCTCTGTGTGTATAAGCCCAGCTCTATTAAAGATGTTCAGACCAGAACTGTTCCTTCCCTGTCTTCACCCACAACTTGTTTTTCATTTTTTCATGTATTCATCCCAGTCCTGCTCTGTCAGCCCTCCCTGGCCACCTGGCAGTGCAGGGCATCCAGCCACAGAGCAATAATGCCCAATGGAATTTTGGGTCGGAGAAATGTTGCTGGAGCTGTGCTCCTGACAGTCCAAGGCAAGCACAGACCATCAGTCACACTGGGAATGCCTGGCTTGGATGTTCACTGGCTACTATGGCTTTTCCAGATGCATGGGGACAAGGCTTGGAAGATGAGGTTGACTCTGACTCCATCTCTCTGTGCAGCACTGGAGCTGGGTGCTGTCCCTCTGTTCCCCCCTCTGCCTGAGGGAGGCTGGAGGAATTACATCAGTGTTCCCCAGCAACAGGGAAACGGTGACCTCATGGAAGTGTCTTGGATTTGTCCCACTGAATTTCAGAAGCTCACCTGAGGAAAGTGTGCTTGGTTTCTTCTCTATGATCATGCCCTCCATCAGGACACGACTAGGCTCCTGAGCCAGAGCAGCCTCAGAAAGTCTCTGACATCTACCTTTTAAAGATTTTACCTTTTTGGGATTCAGCTGAAGTTGTGAGGCTGGTGAGGCAGGACCAGAGAAAAAGCTTTGATGGGACTGTTCCCCTAGAAATATCTCAGCCTGTTTAAAGGAGAGAAAGTGCACTCCCGTGGGGTCTGAGCTTTGTTGACAGATACAATGTTGAATGGATCAAAGTTCTCAGGTATATTGTTTGTGAGAATCCCTCTGATGTTCTCCTTCTGAAAAGTTTTGTTTCTTTTCAAAGAAAATCTAAAGGAAAAAGACCAGGTGCTTTGGTTCAGAAAACCACCTTGTGCTGACCTGAAGGAACCAGCAACAAGGGAGTGGAGAAAGGAGGTCTATTTGCTCCATACAAGTCTGGACTGCCTCCCGCAGAGGACTCCTAGGGAAGGGGTAAGGGCAGACCTCCAGACGTCCTCATGACTCTGGTGCAAGCATGGAGCAGCGAGTGAGCTGCAGATTGATTTACAAGTTTCCCTTTCCCCAGCTCCTCTATGGGATCAGTGTGCTCTGAATTTTTTTGCATTCATTCTCCAGCCGGATAAATCCATCATCCGCTCGGCTGTGGCAAAGGCAATTCTGTTCCTTTCTTTCTGCCGCAGCGCTGCAGGGCATGTGGCTTTGCAGACGATAGAATCGCACTGAATTCCTGTGACTGCTTCCTTACCCCCACGCTTCCAGCTTGCTCCAGGGACCCAGAGCAGTCCAGCAGTGCCCGGGTCTGGGTGCCCAGGCCGTGTGCTCGGCAGCGAAGCCTGCCCTCTGCTGTCACCGCAGCCGCCAGCCCGGCTCCCATCGCACCGTGTCTCCCTCGCTGTTACCTACGGAACACTCTCCACACTCTCAGCTCTGCTTCCACGAGCAGGACAGTTCTGCCCTGGATCACTACCTTGCCAGCAGGGAATACCTCTTTTCTTCATATTCTAGCCCTCAAGCTGGTAGCCCTGAGCGCTGATCTGGGAGCCAGGGCGGTGGCATTCCCGGCATTGCCTCTGGACTTGCAGCCGGTGCTGTGGGGCAGTGAGGGAGCTGCTACAGCTCCACAGCTCTAGCAGCTTGCTGGAAATCTAATAGAGCAGGTTCCTGCCCCGGAGATCCAGATGAGTGGAGAAAGGGTAGTCAGTCATGCCTGAGTGATAATAAAAACCAAGAGCTCAATAAAGGAGAGAGCCTCTGGCTGAATGGTACCATGTACCCCTGGAATGGGGCACAGAGACAGCAGCAATGTTGGGGTTGTACCCGGACTTACAACAGCCCTGAGAAGTTTCTGGTTTTATAGTAAAACTTTAAAACCAGAAACAGATCCAAAAGAATTTGCCTCTCCATCAATTAATTACAAGCCTTTGGGATTTCTGCTCTAGTAGCAAAGAGGTAAGGCAGTCAGGCTGTAGAGGTTCACAGAGGTGGACTTCTAGTACCTAATTTTTGAAATGTCTCTGTCTAAGAGCCCGAGCTGTGTTTAGGATTTCTGATGCTGCTACCTGAGATTTATTCCCAGTCTCAGTCACCTAGGATACTGCCATGGCATCCATAGGGCTGATAGCAGCTGCCTTGAAGGGAAAAGGGAAAGGGAGAGGGAAGAGAAAGGGGAAGGGAAAGACATGGTAAAGACAAGGGAAAGACCAGTACAAACACATCCAGAAACAAAGTTGACCAGGCTGAGCTAAGAGTTATATATCAGGTATAATATGAGAGTTAAATACCAGGGTATTTACCGGTACTACTGCAGTGGCTGCCAGGAGTCAGGGCTGTGTTTGGGACTATACAGAGAGATGCTGGCCTGAGCTGTGAGGAATTATTAGCACAAGGAAAGAGATGACGGGTACAGATGGATGACCACACAAAATCAGGAAATAATTATCTCTGCTTTATCTCTGTATATAACTCTCCTCTGTTAACACCATCTCCTTTCATCCTGGAAAAGGCCCTGGGGAGACCTTATAGCACCTTTCAGTACCTAAACAGGATTATAGAAAGTCGGTGATGGACTTTTTACAAGGACATGCAGGGACAGGACAAAGGGGAATGGCTTTAAAACTGAAATAGGGTCAAATTAGGTTAGATAGAAGGAAGTAATTCTTTACTGTGACAGTGGTGAGGAACGGCTAGCCTAGAGAAGCTGTGGACGCTCCACAAATGGAAGAGAAGGCTGGATGAGGCTTTGAGCAACCCGATCTTGTGGAGAGTATCCCTGTCCACGGCTGGAATTGGATGATCTTTGGAGTCCCTTCCAACCCGAACGACTCCATAATGCCAGGACTGCGTGCTGAAACCCCGTCTTCCACTGCCCTCTTGTGGAGACTCTGCAGAATGCAGCGGAGCGCTCCGGCCCCGGCCCCGGCCCCGGCCCCGGCCCCGGCCCCGGCCCCGGCCCCGGCTCCGGGGGTCGTCCATCAACGCTGCCAAAAGAAATAAAGCATCCCCTCCCCTAGCCCTGCTCACTCCCCTGGAGTTTGAATCCACATTTCCATGCTGGCCCTTCCTGGCAGCCAGCCATTCCATAGGCTTGGTGGTGACCTTCTCTCTGAATGCCAGCCTGTCTCTGAAGCTGGGTTTTCCAAGGGCGAGCAGCCCAGCAGTAGGGACACGGCAGGGCTGAGCAGTTCAGTGTTTGTGGGTGTAAAGCAGGCAAAAAGCAGGTGTAGGGCAGCTCTGTGTGTGACGGCTCCCTCGCCTCTCCAAACACCATCCGTGCCAGATGCCTGCAGGCCTTTGACCACGGATTGCTATCGCTTCAGCTGAACTGCCCGGAAAAGCCATGACTTCACTGTTTAAAAAAAAAAAAAAAAAATTAAAATCCGTCAGGAGGAGGAAACCGTGCTCCGGGAAAATACAGTATTTATTTTGTAAGTGCAGCTGAGCAAGTCAATAGGAAATAGAGGTCGTGGCTGCACAGCTGCTTTTCTGGGGCAAGTGGAGCTGTCAGTCCAGCCCAGCCGCTTCCAAAAGTGACAGCTGCAGTAACCAGAGAGGCGGTGAGCTCAAAGGCAAGCAGGTCCTGACAGGGAGGGGAGAAACCTAAATATGTGTGTCAAATGAGAGCAGTGTGTCAAAACCCTGCTGTGAGGACAGCCAGCTTTACTAAACATTAAAAACCCACCCCAGAAAGGTAGAAAGGCAAAGCAAGTGAGGGAATAAGGTGGGAAAGCAAGATTTTGCTATTGTCAACACTCAGGTAATGATCCATTTGTGGTCATTTTTCCAGCACCCTGTGTCTAACACAAGTAAGTTGGTGAGGGCTCATGCTGGCCTCAGCCTTCAGGATGAAAAAATAGGCTCTTACCCAGAAGGATGCTTGGGAAGACCTCACTTCATGAAATGCCTGCCCCACAGCAGGCAGGCGCTTGTTGCAGTCATCCTGCCTGGCCAAACTAAACAGGAGGAGAGAGAGGCTGGCTCCAGCTCGTTGCTCAGCTCTTGCCTTTTTGTGGGGTTTCTTCACATGCCAGCAGGTCTGGGCTGCTGGGAGACAAGCCAGAGGAGCTTGGGGTCACAAAATCATAGAATGGCTTGTGTTGGACGGGATGTTGAAGATCATCTTGTTACAACCCCCTGCCATGTGCAGACACCTTCCACTGATTACAGTTACTCAAGGCCTCATCCAGCCTGGCCTTGAACACTTCATGGATTTGACATCCACAGCTTCTCTGGGTAACCTCTTCCAGTGCCTCACCATCACCATGGGTAAGAATGTTTTCCTAACAGCTAATCTAAATCTACCTTCCTTCAGCTTAATGCCACTCCCCCATGTGCCCCCACTACATGTCCTGGTGGAAAGTCCCTCTCCAACTCTCTTGTGGGCTCCCTTTAGGTACAGTGAAGTGCTCTAAAGTCTCCCTGGAACCTTCTCCAAGCTGAACAGCCCCAATTCTCTCAGCATGTCCCCACTGGAGACGTGTTCCAACCCTGCAGCCAGCTTAGTGGCTCTCCTCTGGACTCATTCCAACAGGTCTTCCTTGCACTGGGGGCTGCAGAGCTGGACACAGTACTCAGGGAGGAGCCTGGCAAGACCAGAGTAGAAGTTAAACTTTTTAACTTTCATCCTGAAACAGTGTGTTTATTTAGAGGCAAACAGGAAAAGCCTTTAGATGAGCACAAAAATCAAGAGCTCAAAGATGACATAAGGAAAAACAGCAGACCTAAAAGCCACAAGCTCACAAAGATGAGGACCAGCCACTCTATCCAGGTCAGCAGCCTGTCCAGATCCAGAGGCTATGCTAAGCAAGACAATTCCTCCGGTGAAACTTCTCTAAGAATAGCATTGTTGTTATCAGTCATCATGCCACTTATGGGGCCCAAAGGCATCTTCATAGCCCCTGGTCCTAAAAACATTCGGGTGATGTCAGCAATAGTTGTCTCAGCCTGCTGTGACCAACAGAAGGCCAAGTCAGAGCAGCAAGGATGCTGCAAAACAGCAAATTGGCTCCCCCTCTTCTTGGCATTTTCTTCCCATGCAAAGCTGCTTTGGTTGTCTCACATCTACCTCTCTCCCATGGCATGTTGAAAACCACATCCTTCTCTTCATCTCCAGCTCCTCCTAAGTGCAGCCCCTCCTGACCCTGCAAACAGCCAGGCCCTCCCCTTCCTGCTGGTGCTTCCAAGTGCCCCCATTGTGAATCATCTGGCAAGCCCCAAGAAAAAGTTATCCATGAATTAACTAAACTCAAAATGAAACTCAGACCCCACCCCGCGCCGTGCTGAGCCATGGCTGGGCTCCACACCAGTGCTGGTTCCAGTCCTGCCTGTGTAATTCAGAGAAAACTTTTTGCCTGAGGCTCTTGGTTTTCTGAAACCAGCAGAGCAGCACAGAGCTCAGGGCCCGAGCACTCAGAGCTTCTCCCAGCACACCACAGCCATCCAAACAGAGCAAAGCAGCTCCTCTCCCCACCAGGACGAGCCCAGGGACTCCTTCAGGCTGGGCTGTTTCAGCTCTGGCCCAAAGCCAGCGTGCAACGGCTGGGAACAGAGATGCTCTTGGCCAGTGAGGTCCTGGATGGGGTTACAGACCCTGCTCCCCTGAATCATCCCACAAGGCAGGCAGAACAGCAGCTCCCCCCATCCCAGGTTCTGAGAAGAGAGGAGCAGCAGGCAGTCATCTTCCCTGAGCAATTCTGGCAACTGCACTGGATTCCAGGAAATATAAATAACTACTCAGCCATCTGGAGCTGTCCCTGGGCTGGTTAGCAAAGGTTTCTCCCAGGCTCTGCCCTGTTCCTGCTGGCTACTCAGTGCCAATGCAGAAAGGACAAAGGGGGTGGCACAGTCCCCACCAGGATCCTGAACAAACTTGAGTCTTGCTCCTGCCAGAGACTGCCTTCACTCAAGGCTGAAAGAGACCCTGCCTTCAATACAGGGCCAGAGACACACCGAGCCAAGGGCTCACACCAGGGCTTGGGATGCTCAGCCCCTTCCCCAGGCACCAGCCAGGCTTCAAGGTGCTTAAGGAGAAGGACAGGCAAGAACAGACCTCTCACTCCAGCATACATCACTTTTCTTCATTTTATTCTTTTATTTGTACAGCTATATTTTACAGAACGCATTAATGCAGTTTAGACACAGCCCAAACCCTGTCTCCCGAGATTGTTTATAACACAAGCATGTAAAATAAGACCAAAAAAAAAATCCAAAACAAAAAAAAATAAAACATTCCCCCACTTAAGAGTTCCACCAAAACTCCTTTTGCAACATCAGGCTGTACCTTGAAAAAACTGAGCTCAATATAGTCCATACACTGAAAACTTCCATTGAAAAGAAAGGCACCGTGCGAAACCACATTTTACATATATACAGACTGAGAACTAGAACAAAAAAATTACACTTTATTATTATTTTAAATTCCTTCTGCAGCTTTGTTGGTTTAATACACACTTTTTTGTAAATTGTAAACCTTCACTTGCAAAAAAATACAAATACACTGATGCATTTAGACAAAATATTTTCTTACTTGTACAGATGCAATACTTTAAAATATCTCCTTAAGTGCTCTATCATAATAAAGATTCTCAGAGTGGCTTCTGCCTGCAGAGTCCAACTGAGCCTTTAATGCATTTTATATATTTTTAATATAGCTTTTTTAAAGGTCTATATATATTTATTTTATATATATATTTATATATTTATATCTATATATATTTACAACTCTGCCATAGATTCCTTCACCTTTGGTTAAAAAAGTTAAAGCCCTCTCTTTAATAGCATACTTTCTCTTTAAAAGAACACACATTTTGCATACAAAAGAAAAAAATCTGTTCCCATAAATCAACATTACATTCCTCATCTTCAAACGGCAAAGGCTGTGAAGGTTAGACTCCAGAGTTTATCAACACTCCACTGCACAGACATTTAAAATGACTATTTTAAATTTTTTAATGTTTTATATACAGTAAGATCTGAATAATTTTATTTTTTCTTTTTGTTTCACATAACTGGGAAAAATAAAACCCGTGTATTTGTAATTTTTTTTTTTAATTTCTAATGTTTTTCCACCTATCTGTACTATGGGTTTAGAGGCACTCCATCATGTGATGAATATTTTTTCTCTCTCTTTTTTTTTTTTTTTTTTTTTCTCTTTTAAAGTGTTGCAAGTATCCTTTGGACAGCTTCTCCCCGCCATGCTCCCCCAGACGACCTCCTCCTGGGAAATCCTGCGCCTTCAGCAGGCCTTGGGGAGCTCGGGAGGCACCTCGCTGGCCGAGATGCGGTACTGCACCTTGGTGTTGGTGATGGCCCCGTGCTTCTGCCGCAGGTGGAGCCGCAGCTGGCTTTTGTGGCGGAAATGCAGGTTGCACTTCTCACACTGCGGGGCGACAGGCAAAGAGAGAGGGTGTCAAACGCCGTGGCAGAGGACATGTCCTCCCCTCAGGGCACGCTCCACCAGAGGCCCCAGGACACTGCACCCACCATACAGGTGGACAAGGGGAAAAGTGGGAACATGGTGGGAGGAGCAGCACCCCATCCCAGGCTATCAGCAGCACATATTGGTTTATAGGATGCACAAAGGGCAAAGTCCCTGAGGAGATGGCTCTGGCTCGGATGGACATAGCACCAAGCTCCATATCTAGGTGATCAAACCAGCTACAGGACTATTTCTGGAGCTGCTTTTGACTTCTGCTGAGCTGGATGGCTCCAGGATCTTTGGATGTCAACCCCTTCTTGGATTCCCTTTCTAGCAGATGGTGAAAGCCAGGAAAGCCCCAGCAAAGAGCGGGGAGCCCACAGAGCTGCAAGCAAGGCAGGGCATACTGCTTGCTGGGTGTGATTATCACCATCAGAGGGGAGTTCAGGCCAGACAGTCTGCTCCTTTCCCCTATCCCCACACACCACAGGCAGCTGTAATTTAAGCCACAGCTATTTGAAGAAGTGTGACCTTCTTCCAGATGGGGTGGAAGAAAAGAGCAACTAAGATGTACCCAGCTTGGGCTGCGTGTCAGTGTTTCCAACACAGCCACACCTGAAAAAATACCACATCAGCATCAGCTAATGCCTGGGAGGGAAATGGGGCATGGGAAGCAGGGATGTGACCTTGGTGTGGGGCCTCATGAGGCTGGCAAAGGGCATTAGGATGCTGCAACCAGCCTGTGCAAATGCCCTTGTGTCTTCCCAGCCCCCCAGGCTTGGCAGCACTGTCCCCCAGCCTAAGCTGAGATTCCCCACCACCAAAAAAAGCAGGGCCACTCACATGATACGGTTTCTCTCCTGTGTGGATTCGAAGGTGACTTTTGAGGGTCTGCAGGTGCCGGAAGCGTGTGCCGCAGATCTCACAGGGGTACGGCTTCTCCCCGGTGTGAATGAGCACGTGAGCACGGAGGTGGGCCACCTGCAGAGAGCAGCCCTGGGTCACAACAGCCCCAGGGAGGATGGCATCCTACTGGGAGCAAGGGTATCCCTGTGGGAATGGGGTTCTACCCACACAGCTTTTTTCATCTCTTGGGTTATAGGTGGGAGTCAGGGTCTGAGCTTTGGTACCTCCAGTCCTTAAGACAAAATGGAGACAACCAGCAGTCAGGCTTCCTTACTAAGCCAAATTGTCCCCTTGGGCCTTAAGGTCCATATTTATCCTACAACACCATGGGAAGAGCTGCTCAAGGTAGCAAGCTGGCTCATCATCACCCTCCTCTCTGTCATGAGGCATCACCAGTCTTGGGCAGAAGATCTAACCATATCCCACCTCCCCAGGCACTGCGGGTCCCAGAGGCTACACGCACCTGGACAAATCTGGCCCCACAAGTCTCACACTTGTAGGGTTTCTCCCCAGAGTGGATGCGTGTGTGGGTTTTCAGGTTGGCTGGTCGGTTGAACTGTGCTCCGCAGATGTTGCAGCGGTACGGCTTCTCTCCTGCAGAGCCCAAAAGAAAGGGTGAGGGATTAGCTACAGGTGTGCTCAGCACCCAGGATCCATGGTGCTCCCCAGAGTTGAGTCCCTTCAGGTGCCAGACCCCATGGCATGAAGCACTAGCCCTGATTCCTGTCCCTTTTGCAGATGGCAGTGGACAAGCAGCATTGGGCAGGGTGTCTACACGGCAGGGTGAGCTCAGGAGGTAGCTTTTCTCTTTTGGATTGGGAGCTGCAGCCTTCAGGGCAAGAGAGGAAGTCAGGCAGCTATGCCAGCAAGGATTAACAGCATCGTTCCTCCTGACCCTGTGACAGCAGCTGGCATCTACATCTCCCTACAGCTGTCAGTAAGCACCCTTGAACACTGCCCTGGTACTTGTGCTGTCTCAGCCCCCTGCACAGCCCTCCTGGAGCTCAGCTGAGACTGTGAGAATTTGGGTCTAATTCAGTGCAGCAGCACAGAGTCATCAGCCCAGACTTCCCATCCCCAGCTTGTGAACTGGCTGTTGATATGTTAAGTATTAAAAGCATGAAATAAAATAAGCCCTAGGTTTGTCAGCAAATGACTAAACCCTTAATATCCTTTTTCTTTCTCAGCTTTCATTGTGCTGATTCACAGAGTCCATCCATTCACAGATTTTCCCATCAGCAGAGTTTATGCCAAGCTAGATGTGACCTGGATTTCTAGGATGTAAAAATAAATCTCAGACTTCTCCCTAAATGTTCTTTCAACTATTTTTAATCTTTTTTCTTTTTTTTTTTTTTCTTAAGTCTACCACAAAGTTACCTGGAGGCCACGCATTTGCTCCCAGTTATGAATTTTGCACGACACCTTTAAAAACAGTGGTGCCCAGTGCTTTACAGCAAAGGAGGTTGAGTTCCAGCCCTGCTGCAAGGGCAGGTATCTCCCCCATTGCCAGGTTTGGTGCTCTGGCCAAGGGCACTCTGGCAATGCCAAGTAAAGCACCTCGCTCTTCCCAACAGGGACAGGGTAGAGGATGCTGCACCAGGCACAAACCCAGCCATAAACACCCACATGCTCACCAACCCACAGCCTCCCCAAAGCTGTCCCCAGAGCCAACACTGTACCTGTGTGGACGGTTTTGTGGCTGGCGAGGTTCCCCTTGTAGCGAAAGGAGGCCTGGCAGCGGTCACACTTGTAGGGCTTGTCACTGTGCACTTGCAGAGAATGTCTCTTGAGAGAGGCCTCCTCGGAGAACCGGCAGTCGCACTCGTTGCAGAAGAAGGCTCCATTCTCTGGGAGGGCAGAGAGAGGAGCAATCAGATGGACAGTGCATGGGTCACCTTCTTGATAGGCTATGGGATGGATTTGAGGTGGAGGAGAGGGGCAGCCAGAGCAAGTGCTGGAACAAGCAGCCAAGTGCAGGTGTTCACATTCAGTTGTGCTTGCACTGTGCTGTTACCTCCCGGCCTTGTGCACACAGCGACAACATGCATGGTTTGAGAACAAAGTTATCATGAGCTCTAGTTTAGAGCTTTCTCTCTCCTTTAGTGACACACAGGCTGCTTCCAAGAAGCCAGCATGTCATCTGGACATCTTCCAGAGAGGTCCATGAAAGCTCTCAAGATATCAGGAATCCTCTGAAGGATGCTCAGCTCTGGAGCAACTCCTCCTGCACTTTCAGAGGTGTTTTAACCTTTACAGTTACAGAGGTCTGCCTTGAGCTTGGAAAGATGATCACCACCCAAATCACAAGGCACGCTCCCCCAACAGGAGGATGCCCAACTCTTACACGTGTTGAGTGTTACCACAGTGAGGTTCCCTCCTTGGATCTCTGCCTACACTACAGGTGGCAGTGCTGCATTCCCCCTCCCTGAGCTACAGGCAGATGAGTGCACAGATACCTGTCTTTGGGCTTGTGGGGTTTTGTAACAAGATTGCAAGCCTCATTATCTGCATTTCCCCAGATGTGCACACTGGGCTCCTTGATAATAAAGATATCATGACGGATGCATGAGACATGCCAGCTTGCCCAATCCCCATTATGGTCATTACATCTGTCAGGCTTGTTCTCCTGTGGTTCTGGTGGGGTGGGGTGCACTTGTTTCCTGTCCTTACCTGCTAGGTTTGCAGCAGGTGACTACCTCCCTGCACAAGGTATCTGGATGGTGCTGGGGAAGGGGAGGAAGGCAGCAATTCCCATGTGCATGTGTCCCTCATATGCATGCACACAGCTGGGCAGACACTTAAGAAGGGGCTGTAAATCACTGTGGGATCCACCAGCATCTGGGACACGTCTGACTGTGTTTGATCACGGGTCAGTGACGGGTCCCTACACTGCACAGCCCCCCAGCTGCTGGCTGAAAAAGATAACCAAGGATCCAAGACTCACCGCAGCTGGAGTCAGAGTATTCAGACTGGGTTTCCCCCATCTCTTCTCCAAAATTTGAGCCAGGGGTATGAAGGCACATCTCAGTATGTTGTGGGGACTGGCAGCCACAGGAGCTGCACTTCGATGAATGCATGTACAGTGGGGACTGCCCTTCGCTGCTCCGAGGGGACCCATCCCGGGACCTGTGGAAGGAGAGCAGCGTACACAGCTGTGAGAAGGCCCTTGCTGTGCTCGAGACACCGCGGGTGTTTGCACCCCTCCCAACACAAGGGACAGACATGCTTTATGGGGACATCTTTGTTGTGAGCGCACAGCATAGCCCTGATCAACAACAGATCCTTAAACTTCAAACCTTCAAATGTCCATCACCAAATGACCTCACATGTCTTTAGGAACATCCAGGTCCAGAGGATAGCATATTGTTCCCTGAGTCTTTGGCCATTCCAATGCTTATAGCCAACAAAAAACTTGAGGCATAGGGAGTCTGGTGGAAACACAGACTAGGCAAATCCAGGCTCCAGAAATCATCCAGAGCTGCTCAAGTTACCCAGTGATTCACTACCCAACGTTCCCAGTTCCTTTGCCAGTCCTTGCTGGCACCACTACAGTGGGGACGGTGGGCACTCAATGTCACCAGCAGCCCTCCACCAAATGCAGGGGATTCCATCTGCTCATGACTGGACTTCCCAGCCCAATGCAACAGATATTTCACACTTCCAAACCCTCACCAACAATGCAGGAAGTTCTGTTTCTCAGGGGGGAGGGGCATGGGGGGTGGAAATCTTCTCACCTGTTAACAATATTGTTGAGTCTGCTCGCTTGTGGGATTGTAGAGTCTTCACCATTCACGCTTATCTTGGTGGGGGATTGCACATTGAGATGCTCCGGCTCCATGGACTGCTGGCAAGTGGACATGGGCACATAGGTGCGAGGAGAGAGGGTTCCCATCTCGTTCTGGTCAGCGCTGTCTTGCTTGGTGTTCTGGTTGAGAGAGTTGAGGACAATGAACTTGTACTTCTTCCAGTTGCAGGCTTTGGGGTCTGTGGGGCTCTTGGTGAAGAGGGAGCTGGAGTTCTGGCCGATACGGGCATTCTTGCTGCTGCTGGACTCAGTTGGTGAGTTGGGCTGGCAGTCTGACTTCTGTGGGCTCTGAGGGCTGATGAGTCCCTTGCGGTCCAGGGGTGTGTTGGTGGGCTCAAAGTGCTGGCTGATCTCATCCTCTGAAGAGGTCCGCTCCTCCTCTTTGGCCACTTTATCACAAGGGAAGTAGGGATTGTTCCGGACTGAAGGGATGACAGGTTTGGGCCCAGAAGCCACGCTGTAGTGCATGTCACTCCTGGCTTCTTCAGCAGCACCTTCTTTTGGAGCATAGATGGTGGCATGGCACATGTTGGCAGAGATGTCAGTAATGGTTCTCACGTACTCAGTGGGGATTGTCCTGGAGCTGTCGCACGGCAGGATCCTCTCCTTGGGGAAGGCACCTGCCCTTGAGAGTTCAGAGAGAGGCATCCTCATCTCCCGCAACTCATCATCCACTAGGAAGCTATTTAGAGGGAGAGGGCTGTATCCATGGTAGGAAATGGGGGATCCAGACAAACTGTTGATCAAGCCAGGTGCGAAGGCCCTCCCGTTGCAGAGGGACCCGTTTTGAAGAGGCATGCCGTTCTCTGAGACATCTCTGCTCCGATAAGCCATCACCTCCGGGTGGCCCAGCATCCGTCCAGCCAAAAACTCTTCCCTTGGGGTCTTCACAGCAGACACCATCTCTGCTTCACTGGAATCGGGGGAAACAAAGTAATTGTTTAGGAGGGAGACAAAGTCATTTTCAGCTGTTAAAGATGCATTTGCAGACACTTTGCCAGTTCTTCCCCTGCCCACCCAAACACACAGTCCCAGGCTCTTCAAAGCTCACCAACTGCACTCACCTAGACTTGACAAACCTTCGGCAGGTGTCAACCACGTGCTCCATCTGCAGGTAGAGTGCTGTGGCCATCACAGCCATGATATTGTTCTCCCTCAAGTTCAGGCGGGAGGTGTACATGAAGTCCAAGAGGATGCAAAACCCCTCAGGGTTAATTTCAGGATCCAGGTTGATAACATTCAAGTTGCACTTGAGCTGGTCAGTGAAGATGCTGTAGAAGAGGCCACTGCAGAGGGAAGACAGTAGAGAGGACAAGTGTTATGACAATTCAAAGGAAAATAAGGAGAATTTGTAGGAAATCCCTGAGTATGGAGTGGGTTCGTGAATGGGAAGGGAGGAGGAGGAGGCAATTACAGAATTCCCTAAGCTTCCCCCTTATTATCAAGCTTGGTTTCTCAGCTTAGTAAGCGTCTTCTGCACTGCACTTTTCCCAACTGGAACAGCCTGCTTTTAGATCTCACCTGCTCAACAACTCCCCACTGCCTCCATTTAGTAATTCCCCAGCTTTTTTGGTTTTTTTCCATTGTTGTTCTTACCACCATCCCCCTTCCACTATGACTCATTTCTTTCAGAAGCCTCTCGGGCATCCACACAGTTTTAAACCAGAAAAACAAAAAAAAAGGAGAAATGCTGGCACAATATTTTTCAGACATTTTAATAGTCAAAGCTCGGCTTTTTGAAATCTTTACACCATGTCAGCAAGAGAACCTGGAAGGCATTTGCTGTAATTCAACTGGGCAACGATGGGATATTAATTAGCATTCACTAGGAAGCAATTCCAGCAATCTTAGGAGCTGGAAAGGGATTTCAGACCCCATCAGGCTTAAAAAAAGAAAAAAAAAAATGAATCAACTAAGGTGGGTGCAGCCAGCAGTCTGGGAGCCAGGGAGGAATAGCTCTAAAAATAGCAGTGGCAGGGGTCACCTCGGTCACAAAAGACTAATTCACCCCAGTGAACATCCAGCCCTCCCTCTCCTGTCCCTGTGGCACATTTGTGCTTTGCCTTCAGGGATGTGCCTCACAGCTGCTGTGCTCCTGCTGGTCTCCATGGGCTGTGCGTGGGCAGATGTGGGTACACAAGGAGAGAGGTGAGGGCAGAACACTGGAGGGAAGCAGACTCAGCTCTAATCCCATTACAGGTACAAATTTCTTGGCAGCCCCTTTCAGCTTTCTCTGCTTCTGATTCCCTGTGAATCCTACGAGCCCCCACAGGACTGCAGCAGTGCTTCTGGAGGCCAAAGGCTGAAGGAGCAAGGAGGGAGCCAGGGAAGGACCCTGTTCTCACCTGCAGGCCATCAGGACTGTTTTGTGGGCTCTGAACTGCTCCCGGTTCACGATGATGACAACATCGGTCAAGATATCCCGGCTTCTAAGGCGGTTGAGATTGAGGAGGACGTCGCTCGCGTGGCGCGTGAACTGGATGCAGCTGTCTGCCGGCGAGGCCATCTTGAGTCTGGGAGACAGAAGCATCAGAGCAAGATGAGAATGGAGAACAACCAGGCAAGTACCCTAAACCCAGGGAAGAGACGGCTGCTGCTCTGGAACATGCTCAGATGGCCAATTTCTCCTGGTAGGGGCAGCACCAGCTCCTCGGTCCCAAGGCGAACAGTCCTGCACCACACCAAGCTTTTGCCAGGCTGCCTAGTGAGGTCCCTGGTCTCCCGATAGCAAGACCTGGCACGTCTCATCCCACCCATCAAGCTGGTGGGTGAAGGCAATCAGACCCTCCTGATGATTAGCCAACCATCTCCTCTTTCTCCCTGCCTCACCCATGGCAGCCCCACCCCAGTCCACTCCGCCCACTCAGGTTCATCTTCATAATGTTTCCAACATTAGAAGCTTCTAGCCTTCCAAACTCCCTCAGGAGCCATCCTCCTCACCTGTGTGATGTCTGGCTGCAAATTCAGCCACAGGAATCAAAACAAGCCTTAAGGTCTCAACTGAAGTTGAATGATTTCAACAACTGGAAAATCCAGCCCACAGTGGAATACCAGCCCTCACCCAGGAAACTACTTTCCTGCTCCCAAGTGGTGGTCACTCTGGAGAAGACCTGTCCACAGTTTCCCAATTAACTGGTGAGGAGTAGAACTCATCTAACCTGCTGGGCTGCTACCCACACGATGGCCCATGAGCAAGGTTTGGATTAGTCGAGGAATATGAAGCCTTCTCCCAACACAACACCTGTTGACACATCTCAGAGGTGTCCTCCAAGCAGCACCCAGGATGGCCCATGTCTCCCTGAGGTTTGGGCTGGAATGCACCTTTGGTGTTAAATTCTTCGATCATCAACCCCCTCCCAAAATCCTGACTCCTCCTTCCCCAGTGGCACATGAACATACAGTAGTTTCTACAGAGCAGCTGCTCTCCCAAAATCAAAAGCCAGCTGGGTCTAATGAAACACTGCATTAAGGAAAAGGGGAGACAGATTAGGAGGGAAAACACAAAATTTAAATTTACATACCCAATGCCTCAATTCACAGTCCAAAAGTTTCTTTCAAACCTACAAATAAATCAGAAGAAAACAAACACCACATTAGCTGGTAATTATGAATTGGCCATGGCGGGTCACAAGGCTGCTATTTCGCTCAAGTATCAGTTGGATAAAAGCTAGAGATAACAAACCTTCTACTCTCCAGTAAGGTTAACATTTGTTTCTTCCGGTACAGTACGTTCTTATCACAATCACAGGCTTTGAGAATCCAATCATAGCTTCTTCCACACCCTCTAGCCCCAACCATGGGCGGATGCCAAGGAGGTTTTCATTTCCATGACTCAGGAACTTAAAGGCAGGTGGGGAAGGGAAGTCAAGCGAGAATTTTCTCACCACTTCTTCTGGCGATAACTCTTCCCCTGCCAAAACTGAATTCCTGTCTGGTGCCACATTCAAGACCCATGCCATACTCCCAGTACCTTGTTAACAGGTATGACATACACACAAACATCTGCTGCCACTCTACTCAGAAACCTACATGCTTCAGCCATGGGTGAAAACGCCCTGGGATGGGATTGCTCAACAGATTTGGGAGGATATAGGTGTCAAGTACCAACGTGACTTGGCCAAGACTGCATAGGAAGCCAGTGGTGGAGACAATAAGGATGCAGAACGAACGTCCCTTCCCCTTGCTGCTGCCAAAGCCTTCCCTTAAACCACAAGCTGTGTCTCCAGGCACTGGCTTCACCCAGCAATGTAGCTGGGACAGAACAGCAAAGAAACCCAGGAGTTAATTGCCTTGCAGAACTCATACTAATCCTCCAAAATTCACTTAAACCAAACCAATTGACTTGGCACCAATGCAGGAAGAATGTCCTCAGAGAGTTGCCTCAGCAGGTGGAAGCAAATAAATAAGTGAGCCAACAAACCCCAAGACCTTCATCACACCATTTTGAGGACCAACCCCTAGACTGTTAAGACTGCAGGAAGCCCAATAATCCCTGTGAGACAAGGGATTGTCAAGTGTTGCCTCCCCTCTCCCATGCAGGAGATGTGCAGGCCTGGGGCCCAAGATTCCCTCCCATCCCCAGAGCCACTGAGATGAAGAGACGAGATTTAAGGCAAGGTATCACGCACAAAACCCAGCGGATGTCTTACAGCTTTATTCCAGCCATCAAACACAAATCTTCAGAGCTGCTCTGAGCCTGGCCAGCTTAAAACTTTATGCACATACAAAAAGTGACTCATTTCCCAAATACTGCAGACTCTGACCTTTCTGTACGCTCACTGCCAGCCACTCACTACCGTCAATTGCAAGCCAAGGGACTCACAGTGTTCTGCAAGGAGCCCAGCGCTCATCCCTGTGCCCACATGAGCAGATGTGTGCGCTTGGGGCAGCTGGCTGGCACCCCAACCTCAGCCACAGTGGCAGACATACTCTGCCAGGCTCTGGGTAGCCACATCAGTGTCACAGAGGTGAGGAGGTGACCCTCTTGTAAACCAACAAAGTTACAAACAGCCAGATGAACTCTGTACCCCTGAGCATCATGTGAGAAGCTGCTAATGTCGCCAAATCCCCTTATCCACAGTGAGGGCACAGCACTGCTGGGGGACACCCAGTTTCTCTCCCGGAGCTGGACCCCAGCACAGCCCCCTTCCCACCCTTCCAAGTTATCCCTCCCAGCACAGTGCTGCTGCAACGTCCACAGCCCCAAGAGCTGGGCAGGTGTATCCCAGGCAGCTCCTGGCTGCAGGATGTGGGCATGCAAAGGGAAAGGGACTTTCCTTCCTCTCGCTGTGCTGAGCCCGGTTAACCCTGCCCCTTCCAGTTCCCACACAGCGCTAGCTCTGAACCCCAGCACGGGAGGATACTCAGACCAGAGAGAACAGGATGGCAACAAGGACCTGAGACCAGTGATGGGGAGCAGAAAAAACCACTGCAGCCAAGCATGATCTTTGCCATCTAAACCCCCCTCAAATCCCATGAAGTTCCTCCAGGCTCAGCTGGGGACAGAGCATCATCCCACATCGCACCCCTCCCCTCTCCTCCAGTTTTCCTGTCCAGTACCTTGCAGGTGTGGGCTCTCTGGCAGTGCTCGAGGCTGTGTGCCAGGGCTGGCTATGCCCATAGAGGAAGGTCTGGAAAGGGCACAGGGCCCATTTTAGGGGTGGCCACACGGGACAGTCACTGCTGTTGCCTTCCAGGAAGGCAATGGGTCTGCCCCAGCGGTTCAGGGAACAGCCCTTCCCTGCCGGCACCTCCCCGAGAAAACCCATTCCTGGAAAGGAGCCCAGAGCTGGCTCTGCCTTCCCTGCAGCTCTGTGAGCACAAGGAGGGTGTACCTTCGTGTGGGGGAACCTCCTTCAGCTCAACCCCAGGCAAAGGGGAGACCCTCTTTGCTCACTTACCCTAGGGCAGAGGGGAGAACCAGGGACTATCAATCCATTTTTCTGCCATGCCTCTCCATTGATCTACTCTCCCTTTTCATTCATCCTCCTCCCACTCTGTGCACAGGGGGGAACTTCTTGCTCCCCTATCTTTCTTTGCATGGTGATACCCCATAGTCTTAACCCTTCTCCCACCCCCAATCGCACAGGCAGGGAGGAGGGCATCAAACACTCCCCCTCCCTGGGCCCCAATCTCCTACCCCTCCAGAGCCTGCAGCGCCGACTCACTCACATCACCTTACAGGGGTGACTGGGTGAAGTCTTCCTTCCCCACAGCCTCATCCCACACAGTGTTCTGAAACTGCCCGCCCAGGGGAAGCTCCATCCTGCCCTCCTCCCTCCCAGTCCCTGCACCCTGCAGGGTCCCAGCCCCATGGGAATATCCCCACTGCCTGCCAGGGCGTGCTGCCAGCTGCCTCTCCACCCTGCCAAGGAATGCCTGCTTTCTCCCAAACAGGGATCAGGGGGACAACCAAGAAAATGAGGTGGGGTGTGGGTGGCTGCCCCAGCAAAGCCATGGGTGCCACATGCCACGGTGAAGAAGATGCTTTTGGCTGTGGGTGTGTGAGCTCAGCTTTCTGATACCATGCAATCCAGGGGCACTAAGCGTCCTTTAGTTGTCACAGCAGTTTTATTAGTTTAGTAGCTTCTGATTAGTGTCTAGGCCAAAACGTGGCTGGGTTAATAATAACCCAAGAAGAGACTGGGAGAAGTCCATGGTGTCAGCACAGATCAAAAGCAGCATCACCAGTGCAAGCCCTGTCGTATTTTCCACCGTACCCTTCCGTGAGCAGATCGCACTCGCTCTATCGAGCGGTCTCAATCTGATCCAATTTCCTGCCAGCAAACAAATGTTTCTAGGAAATGCAATGCATTATCTGGACGGGTTTATTATCAGCATTTGGAACCAGGAAAACTGCATATTTTCTCGAGCGCCGCAGGGAACTTTATAGTTCATACTTCAAAAGAGGGTTTAAAGGATTGCCCTTGAAAGCTGGCCCAGCTCAAGTCTCACATTGTTTTGGTCTTTGCAGAAGAAAATGCAGAGGAGGGAGGGGATAAGCACGCTAAAACTGCCTCCAATGTTTTCCTACTAAAGAGGACTCCCCTGCCCTCTACGGAGCCAAGCTCTGGCTGTGAGGCAGAGGCAGTGCGTGCCCTTGGGAAGCAAGGAGTCGAGCCTTCCTCAGCATTTCAAACGACCCCAAGCAATCTGGCACATTAATTTTTCAAGGGAAGGCAGGAACCATGTGTCCTGGCTGAAATCTAGGGAGCTACTCCAGAGAACAGAAGATGGACTCCGTGCCCTGCCAACACTGAGCCCTGCACCGAGGTGCCGACCGAGTGCAGGGTGCGGCCGGAGCCGGGTGTCCCCACAGCTCAGCTGGGTCCCTGGCCCCGCTGGGCTCCAAGGAGGTGTCTGATCATCCCTACCCTGCACTGGGATAGAAAATTATTGACTGGCACCTGACCCTCCCTGTCTCTGTACTCCTGGGGCTGAGGGCGGCACAGCTCCTTCTGGCAGTAAGGAACTGCTCTGGCATCCCGCCTGGGTGGGATGAGACACATGCACAGCTTGGGGTGCCTTGGCCAGGGCAGAGACACCCTCTTGCCCCTATATTTAGCCAAACAGATTTAAGGAGGTGAATTTCAAAGGGTATCTAGTCCTACAGGACACCTTCTTCAGGACCCATTCAGAGCCCCTTGTCCTGCAGTGTGCTTGTCTCAAGCTCTCTCCTCCATAAAAAGGGGTCCAACATTCCCCATGGATACCCAGCATACAGCCCAAAGGCAGCAAGTGACCAGGAGAAAGAGGGAAAGGAAAACAATATAGATCAAAAAATTCCTACGCCTCTCCCAAATGCTCCTAGTTCTCTCTCTGGTTTAGATGGGAAGCTCCACTGAGATTACTGGGGTTTTAAAGCAGTCCTAAGGACTACACACTTGCTCCAGTTTAGGGGTGTGTGTCTTTTGGCTGCCAGCATCCTGCAGTGATGCTAACATATAAGATCTAACATAGATTTTAAAAACAAAAAAAAAAAGGAAAAAGGAGGACTACATTTGCAGTCTAAATTTGCAGTCTGAAGGAGCTTACTGGTCAGATGCTGACTTTTGGATACTGATCTAACCAAACTGCAAACTGTGAACTCCTGAGGTTTGCCAGTGCCTGCTGTAAACATGGAAACCAAGTGTCACTTTTTGCCAAACAGAAGAATGGTTTAAAAATAGATCTAGAGAAGAATACAGGCACTCGGCATACAAGGCACCCATTTATAGACTCCCATGCTACTATAAAATAGAGCAAGAGGTTATGAGCACACAAGCAACCTTCCATCAAATTTAGATTTTACCAACTTCTCAGAAAAATGAAAACAACATTTCAGGCTCCAGCTGAACCAGTAAAAAAGCTCTTTGAGTGAAGTTCCCAGCCCAGGTATTACAGCATACAGACTAAACCAGGCATGAAACAGTTCTTCAACCTGAACACAATAAATATATGAAGGTACATAAATTGCACACTGAGAAATGCATCTACTGATTATAGAGTTTCATTTTATTAATCTATAGACTTTGTAAAAAGGTTTTATTTTTCATGGAGAAATAAAATGAGAGGACAGTCCTACCACATAGGACTGGCACACAAAGTTTTACCACTTGTATTTGTATGGGGTTTTGAGGATAACATTACTGTTTACTAAGAAAAAAAAAATGTGCTCCAAACCCAAACACTATTCCTACAAATTCATATTGGGCTGCTGCAGTTGGACACTGAAAGCTTTCCCTGCCCAAGGGGAAAAAAAAAATAGAAAAAAAGCATAGCTTTACAATACATCCTAAATTAGGCAAAAATTCAAGGGCAGATTAACGCCACAACTCAGAAAGATTTTCACATGTGATTTCATGACCAGACCCAGAGAGAACTCCATATGGAAATGTCAGTGACTTTAATAAGCACTCGGTTGTTTCCAATTAGGCTCCTTAAGTAAGTTCAGTGGCATCCAGAGTTTCCTCTGCCACCTTCCTCCAAGCTGGCAAGCATTTTTTTTTTCTTTTTTTAACGAGCAGTTAATAAACATGTTCCCACTCTCCCGAGGCCGCCGGCCCCGCCAGCCCCGCACGGAGCGGCGGGAGGTGACACTAGATGGCACCAGTTCGCTTTGCTGCAGGAGCAATTTTTCCCCTTGGAAAATAAAACACCCCAACCAAACCTGGAAAACATATAATTTTGTCGATGTAATTCTGTTTCTCTTAAAACGCATCTGAGCAACATTATTTTTATGAGCTTTTCCAGCCTTGTTTTGAAAAACTTAATGTTTCTGTTAGGTTTATTTTTGTACCATCCAACAGCCGGCTGAATCCTCCCTGCGCTGCAAACAGGGATGTCTAAAAAGTGTCACAAAGCCTTTGGACGGATTTTTTTTTTTTGCTTTGTTTTTGGGGTGGGATTTGTAAGAATCACTTCTCATTCCAACTTCTTCCTTCGCAATAATAACTAACCAGTCAACCTCCACTTCCTCTCCCAATATTGACTCAGATAGTCAGAACTGAGGGGGATTGGAAATTGGAACTGAAATGCATCTCAAGAGATCTTTGATCTGTTTTGCCAATCAAAACTGAACACCAAGAGATGAACTCTTTTCTTACTGGAACAATACAATAATCCACTCTTCTGGAAAATTTCTAGATACCCTTTGAATATTTTAATGGCTTGGTGATATGTTTCATGGGGCAAAATGTTTGCCATCTATAATGCAAGTTTTAAAACCTGCAATCCTACCCTTAGGAGAAAATAACAGAATCTTTGATTCTGCTTCTATATGCATATATAAAGAGAGGATTCCCCTAAAATATTTTTAGAGCAATTTTTGAACTGTGACCCACTCAAGGACTGGAGGAAGGAGCCTGCATTTGCTCCTAAAGCTCTTATCCTTTAAATTCTTGAAACAGTATGGCAAATAATAATTTTTAAAGCATTTAAATGCTCGGGAGAGGAACCAATAAGATTCCCAGATCAAATAAGGGCCTGATCCCAAACTGGCCTGCTGACACTTCCACTGGCACAAGAAGCAAATTTGGCCCAAGACAGAGATTTGGACAAGATACTCCAAAGTGGCACTCAGTTCTCACTGAGCCTCATCAGTCTGTCCCCAGCCTCCCTTCGCATTGATCCTGCGCCTACTGAAGTCAGTGGAAAAAACTAACCGGGGATGGGTTTGTTTTTGTTGATTTTGACTCATGACTTTAAGCCCAGATTTGCCTTTTCCCTGGAAATGCAACAGGGGGGTTAAAGGCAGCTTTTTAGGCACATCTGAGAGGCTGCCGCGGATTTTTCTAAGCAAACGCCTTGCTTTCTGTTTCCCTCCTTCCCAAGAGGCGATTTCATAACATTTCATATTGTGACTTTGCAAACTACAGGCGGGGGGAACGGCGG